CTGTGGCTCTTGAAACAGAATCACCTGCTGTCATGCAGTCCAGTCGCTGGGCTTCTGCAAGCAACGTGCTCACAGCTCACTCTTCAATGTGGCAAAGTGTGTGCGTGCAGCAGCAACAGGGTAGGGAACTGCAAACACGCAAGCGCACAGGTGGCTCGGGCCACCCACCGCCACTGTGCAAATGTAAATGGGTGAGTTATAAAAGCAAGAAGTATCTTGTCATCCTTCCAGGGGCACTCTATTAAGAACCAGGCAAAAAATCAAACCAAATATGATATTTGAAATGTCAGATTAATGAGAAAAGTGAGAAGCATTTTCTGTAAGCAGTGCCTGACTGTGGTGTGTGGGAGAGAGCCTCACGGAGTGGTATTTATCAAGCATCTGAGCGGGGGTCACCGCACAAAGCAGTGACAAGCCTGTCAATGAAGCTAAAAGCACTTACATAACAGGACTGTGGGGGAGGGGCGACCTCCAGCTCCAGCTCCAGGCTACAGCTTGCTATGGGGAAAATGACTCACAAAATACTCTCCTCCAACTTCCTGGGAGTGACATGAGCGGCTCACAGCCCGCCCAGGGTATCTGAATATGCTCGCCTCAAGTTGCAATGTTTACACTGGTTAGCACAGCTGCATTTTAATTACAAGAGATTTTCGTTACTTGTAGTTGTGTTCCTTTTCTTTAAAGGCTTTTGGAGATCTCATTCATGATGTAAAATTGAGCTGTTCAGGGCCCTCCCTGGTGGCGCAACGGGTTAAAGCACAACACTGCAAAGCTGGCCACTGCCACTCCAGCAGGAGTTCAGTACCCAGCCAGGGAAGGGACCCACATGTCTCAGCAGACCTCTCCTCTCGCCCGCTGCTCCCCTCAGCAGTGGACGTCAATCTGCCTGTTCTGCTCCCCACTCTGACTTTGATGGATCCTCTCATTGCCCCTGCACCTCTGGCCTGTACCCCAGTTCTATGTGCATAAATGGATAAATCTATTTAAAAAAAATTGAGCTGTTCAGAGTGCACAATTCAACAACCTTTAATTGATGTAGAATCATCACCAAAGTCCACTTCTCAACGTTTCTCTCTCCCACTTCCTCCACCTGCAAATAACCCACACCCACTGGCAGTCACTCTTCATTGGCCTCCAAACCTCCAGCCCCAGGCAGCCAGTAACTTACACTGTCTGCTCGGATCTGCCTGTTCTGGACACTCCATATAAAGGGACTGTGCAGGTGCCTGGCTCACTCCTGACTGCACCAGTATCAGGGTCAGTCTGCAGAGCAGCAAATGTGCGTCCTCCCTTTCTTTTACCTCCAGGTCCCGCGCCACTGTGTGGACACCGCCCTGACCCGGCCTCCGATCGGCGCAGACACCTGCACGTGGCTCGGCCCAGGGCTGTGAGCAGCGAGGCGCCATGAACACTCATGGCCAAGTACTTACAGCACTCGAGCGCTCACTTCTCGTGCATGCACACCTGGGAGAATGTCTGGGTGACAGTGTCTTGACGCCTAACACTTTGCGGGCCTGCCAAACTGTCTTTCCAAGCAGTTACGCCACTTAAAATTCCCACCATCTCTACAGGGGAGTGCTAATTTCTCCACCGTTCTCACCCACACTTGCTAGTACCTGGCTTTTTAATTCCAGCCATGCAGTGGATAGAAGCAGGATCTCATTGTGGTGCGAATTCGCATTCCCCTGAGTTAACGGCCAACCATGTTCACTCTCTTCTCATGTGCTTACTGGCGGCCACATGTGTACTGTCGCTGGAAAAATGTCTCCTCTGATCTTTCTGCCCACGTAATGTGTCATTGGTGTTATTACTAGCATTGTTGCCGTGTCCATTTTAACAGGCTGTTTTTATAGAATTATCTTTTATAAACGTTCTTTCCAGAGTCTGGACTAGAGTCCCTTGTCAAATGTGTCACGTGCCAGTCAGTTCTTCCATTCTTTGGGTGGTCTTTTAGCTCATGGTGGTTGTGCTGGTATTCTTACATGCTGCAGTTCAGCTAAGAGAAGAGTAATCTTCCAGTGAATTGGTGGGGAGGAAAAGAAAACACCCACCCAGTCAAGGCCTGGCCGGTCTAAGCAGCAACTGGCAGCTGGACACCCCTTCCCAAGCCACTCTCTTCATTTCCAGTAACAAGCTTTCCCGTGTGTCAGGTCAGCCTGTAGAGGTTTGGTATCAAGAGAGTAATTTCCTAGCCTCCTAGGAATAACAGACACCTCCAAACCAGTTACTGGTCTGGGAGCAAAAGCTGCACGTGCAACCCCTGGAAAGTGCCCCTCGGACAAGAAACAACGCCACGTGCATGGGGGCAGGTACCGTGGAGCTCAGTTGGCTGGAGAGAGACCCAGGAGGAGCAGGGGGTCGGATCAACACCCAACAACCACAGCAACCCCCCACCGAGCCCTTCCTAACAGAAGAGAAATGCTTATGTTGTTTGAGGCCCTTACTGGGAGTTTTTCTGTCACACGCGAAACCTGATCCAGGCACACAGCTATTGAGTGAAAGTTTCTGACTTCCCTCCGCACAGGTCCAATGCATGCCCAGGCTCCTTCTTAGACTTTATGAAGTACTACCTATTGTCCCAATGGTACCCCGCTGTGTTTCCAACCCGAAGAATAGAAAATAGGGAAAAAATGACACAAAAGATGCCAAAATATATTTATATTAAGTGTATGCAATCAACTGTGAAATTGCTATGTGAAGTCACCCAATAGGAATTCTGTACAAACTGCATCAGAAACACATTACCGACACCCACATGCCCCCCAATGGGCGAAGCTTCTTTTCTTCAAGCAGAATAAAACACCCGCGCCCCGGGGTACTGTGAGGGACGGAACACACGAGGACAGCAGACTGACAGCTCTTTAACTGAATCTCATCTCAGTTCTGTCATTTCTAAGCAACAATTCAGTTTTGCTTAATCCTCTATGAATCTGGTAAATGTTCACCATCTACAAACATTGCATTTGGTACAAGTGATATTAAACCAGGGTTTCTACGCTCATGGAATTGATACCACACAGAAAAGGAACAAACATCTTGTTCTCCCCAATAGGCTATTTAGCCAGGAATCTGGGAAACAGACAAGACAAAGTCTAGGCTGTTCAAACTTTTCACTAAAGAAGGCCTTCAAATCCCAGAAGTAGGGCAGAGATCTCAGAGCACACAGACCGTCTCCAGGTTTTGCTCCAAAGGTGGAAAGCTAACACCACCACACGAGGGGGCTGTGAGGGCTGGCAGAACCTGGGAGCCCCCCACCATTATCCATTGGTAACACCAAGTCAAAGCAATGTGTGGCTTTTTAGAAGTGAGCAAATGGGACTTCTGTAAAAACTCAATGGAACAGTATTATGACCTTAAAGACTCAAAGTGTCTTCCAGAGAGTTATTTCCTAAGTTAACCTAAAAGCTTTGGAAAGACTTCTAATACTGTCTTGGGTGTCTTGGTGTGGGCGGGGGGGGGTGGGGGGTGATATTTACATGAGAATGAATGAGCATACCTATATGGAGTGCTAAATCCCATCTAGAGAACACACCATTTTCCCCCAAGAATTTCTGGAAAATTGACAAAAATCAGTATAACCTCTGGGCCATTCGAAGCCCCTATAGACACCAGACTCAGATGCAATGCTGATGAGGCAGCTGAGCAAATCCTGGAGCTTGGGGAAGAGCCCCAGGTAGGGATCGTAAATCTGGGAGTCACCAAAAACAAAAGACGCTGTGTCCTGGAGAAGGACACAAGGTTAGAAGTCAGAGGTTAAGACGGGGCAGAAGAGTTCAGGACTGGGCCCCTGGCGCTTCCCCGCGAGAGGCCTGGGAAATGAGCAGCTGGAGAGGTGGCAGCTTCCCAGGGTGGAAGGATCACTACGCTGCCAGCAGCCAGACACCCGGCAAGTACCACTTTCCTTAGCGCAACAGCAGAACACAGAATAGATGCCACACAAGATGCACACTGGAAGATGTTTTCATCGCTTACTTCCTCCTGTCCAACAGAGACTCCTTTTCAACTAAATAACTTAAAGCTGCATAAGAAAAAGAAATTGATCTGAAATTCCGCCCTCAGATGAAACTGCTCTGACTTAACAGCTACGACCATCTTTCTTTCCTTGTGTTGACCCACAACCTCAATGACACTCAGCATCTCTCGAGCCATGAATTAGGTTTGCATCAACAATGAGCGGCTCCAAGGTTACGTTTTAAGTGACAACACTGTCTAAAATGACCATAAACTTCAGCCTAGACAGGGCTATTGATCTACAACTAACCACAGTGAGCAAACGTCAACAGGTCTCTGGGAGTACACAGCCCAGAAGTAGGGCAAGACAACATTCTTCTAGGCCGCGGGAATCGCGGCGGCAGTGACACCCTCTGCGTTGAAAGTAACTCGCTCGAGCCGCCCTGCTGGCACAGGGGTTACGTCTCAGCGCAGTCAAGCTGTCTCCAGCCATAGTGTGTGCACGAGTGTGATCCCCAGCTAGGGAGTGACCCACAGGGCACAGCAGACTGTTCCTGTCTCCCCACTGCACCCTCAGCGGTGGATTTTGGTCAACCCGACCGTTCCACTTCCTTCTCTCTATCTCTGGTGAATCCTCTCACCCCGTACCTCTGGCCTACATCCCGTTCTTGTATGCATACATAAGTCTTTTTAAAATAAAAATTTAATTTAAAAAAATAAAGTTAACTTGGCCCTCCCTGGTGGTGCAGCGGGTTAAAGCACTGCTGTAAGAAGCTTAAGCCGCTTCCGCATGAGTTCTATCCCCGCCTACCCCGGAGAGATCCACATGGTGTGGCAGACCTCTCCTGACCCGCCCGCTGCTCCCCTCAGCAGTGTACTTCGTCGATCTGCCTGTTCTGTTCCCCACTCTGTCTCTGGTGAAGCCTCTCACCCTCCGCATTTCTGGCCTGTACCCCAGTTCTGTATGAATAAATAAATAAATCTTTAAAAAAAATAAATAAATAAAATAGTTAACTAATTCCTTAAGCCCAGTAATTGCACTCACTTACCGGTCAGCAGCTTCCACATCGAAACAGAACCTCCTGTCGGAGGACTCCGCAGGCCTCCTGGTGCATTCCTTCACCGAGAGCACGTCCCCGTCACCCTGCACAGACATCACAGACCTCCTCAAACACCGGAGCAGGGACACATACACCCGATGCCGGGGAAGAGGGTCTTGAAGGTCAAGATTTTAAGTTCCCATGTCCTGCTCTCATTAGAACCGACTTATTTTAAAACATCCGAAGATTTTGACCGTTTCTGTCCTCCCCTTGACAGCCTCTTGACCTCACTTTGGCTACAGTAACATTAAACCAGAACCCCTGCTCTGCTTTTAAAAGGTGGCTCACAACAGCTTCTGCCTACTGGAATATTCTGCACCTCCTAATGTATTCTTTTAAAAAGAACACTGTATTTCACGATATCAGTAGGCAAGTGACCATTTTTGGCCTATAAAAAATTCAAGCCCGCATGAGCCTACTAGTACATTAAGTGTCTTACACCAGCACCAAGGATCCTCAAAATACCAGATCCACTCAATCCCCTGTTTTGTTTTGTTTTTTTAATATGGCGCAATTTTACCTCATTTCACCACCCTCACTAAGAGTATTTAAAAAAGGTAGCAGAAGGGAGAGAAAAGCAATGCAGGAGTACAGGGATTCTGGAAAGAACTGTGAGAAATCCAAGCGCACAATTCTAGACCATTCTAACAGTTTTTAGAACAGGTCTCCAAACACTGCTACAACTTCAAACCAACAGATGTCCAAATATCAGTTTAATGTATTTTTTATTATCTGGTGGCTAAAACAAAAAGGCTTCACTTGTGTTATCTCTGATAGGGATGAGAGACTAAAACCTTAAGTTTCATCCCAACCCCACCAACCCGCAAGGGTGACATCCTCAATTCCTCTTTTTCTCACACCCCAAATTCTCCATGTTTGTTTCATTGTAACTGAAAATAAATGAAATGTATTTTTATTACCAGTTGTTTTAAATATGCTTCAGAAAAACACAAAGTATATGTAAATAGAAATTCTGTATTCACAGATGCCAAATGATGGCCTTTCCTCACAGCTGGCAATGAATTAACCTTCTTCCTTAAAACTCTGTTACCAGTGATGTTCAATGCTGGTGACAAGTTTTTACTCCAGACTGGAATATTCTCAGGGAGGCCCCCGCATCACAAAAGTTTGTTATAGATGTTAACTATCTTCTAGTAACACCGATATGGAGAAAAATGAGACTATAAAAACCCATGCACACGATTCTAAAAAAACACAAAAACTGCTTCTGTTCCCATTTAGAAACACAGAAAGTACACACTTTAATCCTAGAAACAAAATTACATGTGTTTATGACTGACGGGAAGTGAACGTTCCCACAGCGACGCCTCTCACAGAGCAATAGAGTCTACAGCCAAATACTTACAAGCTTCCCCCCAGATCTGTGCTCGAATGGGATGATGTTGAACTTCTTAGCTGCCTTCCGGTACATGCAGTAGTGTTTGACCCAACTGGAGCCGAATGGAGCAGGCCCTTCAACAGAAAGACAACTTTTTTGAAAGCCTTTCCCCACATAAATGAGCAGATAGGTGATGTTTCAAACACAAAAACCGGCAGCCAATGATACAGCTGCAGGAACTATTTTTACTTTCTTGGATCTCAACCTAAAATGAACTTCTGTTTAACCCAACTCATAGTATAGATTTTTATTATACAAACATCTACTAGAACTTTGGCGATTCGGTGATGGATGCAATGTGCAAGACTGTGGGTTCCAGCACACAAGGGTGGGGGGGAATGAGAGGGGCGAGAGAGATGATCTAAGAAGAGAGTCTAGCACTTTCACAACTCAGAAGTCATTTAAAGACATACTCTTCAAATAGTTTGGTAAGCCGTTCCATTATACCTGAAAACCTCTTACGACGCGTTTTGTGTTTTTGTTTGTGTCTGAGCATTAAGAAGTTACAAGGGTTTCAAGAATTTCATTCCGTGCATGGGATATGTGATGGTCCTGGATGTGATTCTTTCAAAATGGCAGAATTGTGGAGTCCCAGCCTGAGAGCCGAGCCTAAAATCCCACTCCTGCTCCAGCACCTTGGAGAGCAGCCGCCCCTCGGCCCCATGGGAAGACATTTGGCAATGAAGTGTAAAGGGGACAGCTCGAGCTGTCCACTTCCGCCCAGGACATTGTTCCACCTCTTGCTGAGCCAGCAGAGCTCTGCAGAGGTAGTGGCGTAGGTCAGCGTCTTCCAGCATTGCAGGTGCCAGGGAACCACAAGCACAACCAAACCATATGAAGCCCAGCAGAGGGCGATCCTTGTCTCTTTTATCAAGACATTTTTTTAATGCAATTCACATCTATTCACCACTATTTCATAGTTTTACAAGAAAATCTTTTCTATCAGAAATTCAAGGAAGACAAACTCAGGAGGGGAAAAAGGCTTCGTCTGAAAGAAATACACTTAGCTTTAGGAAAAGCTACTTCCACAATCTTCGCGCGAGAGCTGGGCAAACAGTGAAAGGAGTTACCAGGCCAAAATAATCTCACCCCGGACCATCATTAATCTAATCCAAAGACCTGAATTCAGGAGCCACTGGCATGAATGGCACCAACAGCTAGGTGATTCACAGTCACAACATGACCACACAGGAATCTCACTCAGTATACTATGAAGGGGAAAAAACTCAAGGGGAGGCTGATCTTGTCTTTTTAATCTAAAGAAAGTAAAGCTGAGACCTAGACCCAACCCAACACTGAAGAAATAAGGCCAAACCTCAGGCTGAGTTTCAAGGCCGTCCCTCTAAGGGACATGGTCTCCTGACCCTCCTCAGGGAGCTCATTTTTGCACTGGCAGTTTTTAAGGCTCTGAGTAAGGAGGCTTTGAACCTGACCAAGTTCCAGGCACAGACAGACAGTGTCCAGAGCCGTGGAATGTGCTGACCTTTGTGCATAGTAAACGGGGTGACAACAGTTCCTGGCATTGCAGGTGTCTTGTGCTCACCAAGACAGTTGTCCAGTGAGCATGAGAGTTTGTTTACAAGAGACAAGTAAAGAGCTGACCACTATGTTTTCACTATTTTTTCCATCACTTTCCAGCCTGGTTCCTCCTGAAATCATTCCGGGTATCAACAGTTAAGAGTCTAAAAATCAAAGTTTCCAGGGATTTTTCACTTGGGCAAAATGCACCAATCCCATCCTTCTCATGTCTCCACCCTGCATTTGAATTTAGTTCTTTCACCTTCAAGAGACAAACAGATGAAGGTGAGGTATCGGGAAGGTCCGCGGGTCCTCCCGGCCACACAGGCGCTCTCTGCCAGTCGCCGGCCAAGCCAGGCAGCGAGGAGGCAGAACACGGAGCCATGCAGGGCAGCGGCCGCCCCTTGCTTAGCGCACAGGACGCGCACTGCCGCACAGCACAGGCTGGGGCCGGAGCAGCCTCTCTGCCTACAACGGGCCGTTTCAAGGTCCTGTGACTGTCACACTTTACAATGAAATGAACACTTCAGCACCCCGGCTACTGTCAGGAGGGAAGGAAGAACAGTGAATCCACCTTCTCCTTCCTGCTGACTAGCATCTCGTTCCACCGCTGAAGGAGCTTGACTGTTCAAGCAAGAGCCACGCTGTCACTGTAGAAAGTCTTAGGGCCACGTTCAAGGAGACAGCAACGCTTCCCAAAAGTCCCCATGATGAGTCCAGGTACCATCTCGGAAGATTTTTCCCGGCCATCACCAATCGCCATAATTTCAGTAAAAAAAAGTGACCCCAGATTGGTGTGGCCAGAAGTGACGAGAAGAACTGTGGCCCCCTGACTTTCGCAGGATGGGGAATTGGGGCTGCGATGAGCAGGAGGGTTCGTGAATGTGAGAGTGTGAGAAGGACGGGGTGAGGACAGAGGAGGGAAGAGGACACCCCATCAAAACAAGGGAGCAGAGCGAGGGACAGCCTCGGGGTGTGGCTGGGGTGGGCACTCAACTGCTCACTCACAGTCCCCTCTTCTAAAGCAGGACTGTGTCGCCCCATAAATGTGAGTGCACCTTCCGGGCAGGAGGCGGCACAGAAAGTGGGGGAATGACTCCAGTCACCACGGCACTGGAACTGCAGTGCGAGTTTTGAGGTCCCTTCCCGGCACCAGTCCCCGCCTGAGGGCTCTTACTTTTTTCCTGGACATACAGGTAGCCTTCCGCCGTGAACTGACCGGCCCGCTTGTGGTCCTTGGGGTTCTGCCTGATCTTGTTCATGAGTTCCTCCACTTCTGACCTCGTTCCTTCAAAACGATTCCGCGTCTGAAAAGGAACAAAAAAAAAAGGTTAACCTGATTTGTAAATTGTCATGTGCATTTCCTTCACACGCGTTTTTAAGACTCAAGAGAACTACCACTCGGCATGTTGTATTTTTCTACTGATTTCTCAAAATATCTCGATCTCTGCTGAGATTCTTCTTCAAAGAAAAAAATCAGAAGTAAAGTAATAATGTACCAAGGGAACCTGGAGGCCATCTCACTTCTGAGGGCCCCAACACCCACAATCATTCTATCATCCAAATCCTGGCTGCCACAGTGTTCATGCCAGTGCCATTGCTAATTCACTGAGCTGCAGAGGAGGGGAGTAAGGAGAGCTGGCCGCCATGGCTGGTACAGCGCCAACTGCCCACACGCCACTGGCCATCATGCACGAAGAAAAAACTGACTACAAAAGCCACGTGTAGGAGAGCGCCCTCTACTGGGAGGGTGAAGAAGCTTCCACTGTGACAGGCCTGCTACTGTGGCACTTGGCACCATCAGACCCAGCAGCCCACTGAACTTCTGATTCACAAACTTTTCCTTCAGCTTCTGGTGCAAGAAACAGGCTTCAAGACAGATCTGTGCTTCTAGATGAGAGCTACTGGCGAGAGGCAAGCAAGGCCCACCTGGTTGGCCTTTTGAAGGCATCACCCTGGTGCCATCCATGCCAGACATGTCAGTAACAGCTGTGCCAGAGACATCCAGCTACAGCATCACTTGCGTGGAGAACAGGCTGAAGAATCCGTTGTGATGGGAAACTCAAACAATCTGTTTTTTTTTTTCTCTCTCTCTCTTCCCATTACTGGTGTTTCTAAGCATTAGTTATTTCCCCTCATGGGATCAAAAGGTACCCAAGTGTATGACTAAAAAAAAGGGAATGGGAATCTCCTATCAGCAGTCTTGGCCATTTTCACGTGTGTGAGTTTTGAATCTAAACGCAGGGACACAATGCGGGAGCGCAAGTTCAAGTGTTTCGGTGAACAAGTCTCAGCAGTTCATCTTTATCACAATGTGACAAACCTGGGAATTTTTTCTGCACAGTATCAGCATTTGGATTTCTTTAAACAGATGAATTTTTGCTATTTTGACAGCAAAAATAAAAAATCCCTACACCATGTCTCGCGGTATTACTCAATCTTAGATTTAGAAAAATAGGTGATGGCCTGGCTTAGAGCTTCCAAACGTCTTTCCTTGTGCAACGTGATGATGATGATGATGATGAGTCGATAATGGGTCAACCTCACTTGTCATTACTGTTATTTAGCCAATGAGTTGAAAGGTTTAGATCCTAAAACACATCAGCTCTCCTCTGCAAGTGAGCAGGACTCTGTTTCTCCCAGGTCACGGGAGTGGCCCTTGAAAATGACGTTGCTTTCTGGAAGGAAGGATGGAAGGGCACGGAGAGACCCACTCACTATAATAATGTCAGATATCTGAAAAGACAAATCACATTTCTGAACCCCGGGAGACTCGGACGTCCACTGGGGAGATGCAGCAGCGGCTGAAGTCAGGGAATAACCTGCGGCTGTGCTGAGTCAGCGCCCCCCAGGGGCTCCTCAGCGGCTCCCAGACTAAGGAACGTATTAATGCTGAGGTGCGGATGTGAAGAGGCAGTGCAGCCAGAGAAAAGTTCCTGCTGAAGCACCTCCTCCCTGTGAGTTACCTCGGGGACAAAGGCACCAAAGATGCGTGGCAGGAGCCGGGCGCAGAGGTGGTGAGGGTGGAAACCCATCTCAGGGGTGCAAACACAGACCAGAGGTTTGCAGAAACTGTCTATTCCCGGGGAGCGCGGCGCTGCCCCGGGGGGCCTCGCCTGCCTGCACCCGGCCGGGAGCCTCGGGCCAGTTCCACACAGATCTCCATCTCCGCCTGCCATCTGCTCCCTCCGCCCGGGGTCTTGCCCGGTGTGACATCAGCGCACCTGTCCACAGCACCCTTTCCCCCCACCCCCACCCCACTAGTCCTCTCACCAGAGCCGCGGATGCCCGCGCTATCTGGCTGTGGCCCCTCGTTACCGGCTCCCATGCCTGGGGCCCCCAATTCCTTGAGTGACCCCAAACTCGAGCCCAACTCTAGGTGCCTGGGTCCATCTTAGCCTTTCCTGGCCGGCCCCCGGGCCGCCCCCCAGTACCTCCACAGGGGGTGGGCACTGTGACAAGTGGAGTGTGGCAGGTGCCAGGGGACGGACGGCCACGCCTGCAGATACCAACAAGACAAACACTGGCCGCGGCCCTGGGCACGCACCCTTCACACCCACTCGATCTCTCCAATCGGCTCTTTGTCCCAGCCCACGGTTCTGCAGTACTTTTCTCATAACACCCTAATGGACCCCTTAAACTGAACTGCCTGGTATTCAATTATAGGTCAGTAAACGTAGGAAAATAGACAAAACAAGTGTAATCTTGATTATAAAAACATCCATAGTGACTTTGCTAAAACGAAGGCATGAAAAATTGCAAATAAAATGAATTTTTAAACAAGAGCCACCAGGTGGCAGACTTTCGAGTTTCGCCGATGAGGCGAGAGGCCTGATATGAGAACTGACCAGAAGGTGGCGCCATCGCCTCAGTTTCTAAGCGCCACCACAGTTTCCACTTGGTTCTAGCTTAAGGCTTTTCATGGATGGAATCAAACCCCCCACCTCCACCCCCCACCCCCATTGCCGCGATCTTCCTGCACCACACAGCTTTCTCTGCTTACGTTCTGAATGTTGATCTGCAGTTCCATTTTGTAATGATTGAAGTCTTTGGCAAGCTCATGGCCCTGATGGTAGAAAGTAAACATTCCCTGAAAAAATGACAGCATCTAAGACAAAGGAGAAAACAGTGTTAATTAACACTGGCGGAAGTTATCAGAATATAAAAGCAGCTACCCATTTCCCTCATCTCAGGGTGATTCTTCTAAAGTAAAATAATGAAAAGGAAGTCACCACAAGGAGACATAGATGCCTGTTGCTAATGAACCAGTTTTGGATTTTAAAAGTGAACGATTAGTCATAGTTTTCCTTCAATATCAGAGCCACATGCTGGTTTTTGTCAGAGAACTGGGATTCTCTATCACCCATTGGTCTTTGTGCTGAAGAGAATTTCTACATCCATTTATGATGGAGACTTTCCCACAGTGGATCAACACAGAATGTCAGAAAAGAGAAATTTCAGAATCGAAAAGTGAAGGCACCTTCCCATCGTGCATTAGAAACAACTTATTACTGAATGCTGCTAAAGTCCTGAAATTTGGGGACCTTTAGAAAAGCACAGGGTTATTCCACACACCCTACTGCTCTTGCATTCCAATATAACTGCTCATGGGGAATTTCTGCGCAAGGCCAGAGTATAAGCAGGACGGCAGAAACTGCATCTGGGAGCACAGTCCTCAAGCCAGGCAGCAAAAACCAGAGCAGCCTTTCACGCTGCTCCACAGCCTCAGACCCACCACAGAGGGGACCCCGGACGCTGTCCAATGGGCAGTGTGTTGCTTCATGCGTAGGCTGTCACCCTGAGGTCTCCAGCCATCTTCAACTGGATCTGGAAAGACCTTTCTAATAGATCACAAAAATCTAGAACTGCTGCCATACTTACTGGTTCCACAAACTCAAACTTCTTCCTCTCTTGGATTTCCTGAAGTTTACACACATACTCAAGAGACAGTTCATAGAAGTGTTTCCGGTTCTGCTCCACTTGGGTATCTGCCTATTAAAGATAATTGAGGTCGGTCAAGACTATAGTCCACAGGCTTTTCCCCACAAGAGGTTCCGGCAAAGCTTTAATTAGAAAGGAATTGGGAGAGGAACACAGCCCCTCAGAGGAACCACAGAGAAAGAATTCTCATCCTAGAAACTCCTCTTACAAGGCATCCTGTAATCATTTCCTTATGTGGCCACTTTACTTTTCTAAAGAATTTAAGTAGGTATTTCTAGTAGTGTCAACCTACCAAAGACACATGCAAAGATGTTCAACACCATTCATCTTTAGAGAAATGCAAGCCCAAACCAGAAGGTGTCACCTCACACCCATGAGAGTGGCTACTACCCAAACAGATTTAAAAAAATGAGAACAACAAATTCCAGCGAGGATGTGGCAAAAATGGCACCTTTGTGCACTACCGGTGGGAATGCAAAATGATGCAGCTGCCGTGGAAAACAGTGTGGCCGCTGTCTCAAAAACTAACAGAACTAGCACAGGATTGAGCAATTCCACTGCTGAGCATTCACCCGCAGTGCCTGAAAGCAGGGGCTCGGGAAGGGATTGGTACCTGCAGGATCACAGCGTCACTCACAGCAGCAAAAGGAGGGAGCAACAGCCAAACGGGTCAACAGCCAACAGCCAAACGGGTCACTGAAATGTAGTCTAAACATACAGTGGACTTGTGTTCAGTCTCGAAAGGCAAGGAAATTCTGACACAGGCTGCGATCTGCGCTGGCCTTGAGGACACTGTTCTAAGTGAAATAAGCGGCAGGACACAGAAGGACAGATACCATGTGATTCCACTTCAGTCAGATCCCAGCACAGTAAAGTTCTTAGAAACAGAAGGATCGGTGTCAGCTAGCTTTATCACAAACTGCGAAGGCCAAGAAATACTCGGTGAGCTATCCCAGCGAATCAGTGGCTGGAAGGGTCAGGGGAAACTGTCCACAAGGTGACCTCTGAGCCGGGAGGATTTGAAAAGGCATTTGGCAGTTATGTGGCAAATGCAAAGACCCAGCCTGAATGTGCCTGCCCAGAGCCCTGGCCAGCGGGAGGCGCCTGCCTTTGCGGGGAGCCCTTAGGAGGGCTGGGGAAGGGGAGCAAGAGGAAGGCTCCCCCAGTTTCTGAAATGGTAGGCGCACTCTGATGGAGGCGGGAAGAGGGGATCAGAGGCCTCTGCGGGGTCTGAGCGACAGACACAGACGATGACAGAATGGGGGCGTGGGATGAGGGGCAAGGGGGATTCCAAAGACTCTGCCTGAAGTGATGTGACCAGAGTGGGGGGGGGGGTCGGGCAGGGCAGGGTGGAGGGGCCCCGCGA